TCCCTTTTAAACAGTTTTCTCCCTCATCTGTTTCAATGCAGTATACATCTTTCTCAGTCTCCCCCCAACCCCAGTGTCAGTCCTGTTTTACAACAGTGGCACCATGCAGTATTTGTTCTTTCGTGATGGAGATACTTCACTCAGCATAATGTCCTCCAGCTTCACCCATTTTGAATAATATTGCATGAGTTCCTTGTTTTTCAATGCAACATAGTATTCCATTGTGTGAATATACCACAGCTCCTCTATCCATTCATTTGTTGATGGGCACTTAAGTTGTTTCCAACTCCTTGCTATTGTGAACAATGCCGTAATAAACATGAGTGTACATATATCTGCTTGGGTGTCAGCTATGGTCTCTTTAGGGTATATTCCCAGTAGTGGAATTGCTGGGTCACATGGTATCTCTATTTGCAGCTTTTTGAGAAAGCGCCATACCGCATTCCACAGTGGTTGCACTATTTTATACTTCTACCAACAGTGAATAAGGGTTTCTCCACAACCTCGCCAACATTTGTTGCTTGCTCTTCTGTTAAATTTTGCTGTTCTTACTGGGGTGAGATGCTATCTGATAGGTGTTTTGATTTGCATCTCTCTTAGAGCTAGGGATTTTGAACATTTCTTCATGTGCTTGTTGGCCATCTGAATGTCATCTTTGATGAAATGTCTGTTCATATCCTGTGCCCATTTTTCTATTGGATTCTTTACCTTTATCTTGTTGTGGTGCTCAAGTATTTTATAAATTCTAGATATAAGACCCTTATCTGACATGTCATTATCAAATACTTTTTCCCAGTCTGTGGCTTCCCTTTTTACCCTGTTGGAGAAGTTTTTGGGTGTGCCTAGGGATTTGATTCTTAGAAGGGCCCATTCATCTAGTTTATCTTCTCTTGGTTGTAGGTAAAATATGCTACCTTTTGACTCAGCAACTATTCCTTAAACTTGTTGGAAATTGTTGGATATGTGCACAAAGATGTCTATGACAACATTGCTTACAACAGCAGAAAACAAACTCAATCCAACTTAACTCCCACCTAATTGAATGTACCATGGACTGCCAAGAAAACAAACAGATTCACCCTAGAGAGGGTTAAATCAGGCTGCTCTTTGGAGGCAAGGATTTTGGGGCTTCATCTGACATACTTTGGACATGTTGTAAGGAGAGAGAGGTCTTTGGAGAGGGACATCATGCTGGATAGAGTAGAGGGACAGCACAGGAGGGGAAGACCTTATGAGGTGGATTGATTCAGTGACTGGGGTAATCGGGATGGGTGTGTCAGAGGCAGTGTGATTGGCACAGGATAGAGCAGGGTTTAGGGCTGTTG